AAAACCTCCGGGAAACTTCCGAGACACGAATTGAGAAACTTGTGGCGAAAATTTAAATAAACTATCGGAAAAAAAATCGGATGTCACATCCAAAGGAAGACAGAAAAGTTTCGGAAACCGGAAGTAAATTTCCAGAAGTAGCCATTTCCAGGGAAAGCCAGAAGAAGCTCGGAAAAACCTTCCAATAGAAGTCGAACAAAAAAACTTTTGGCTTATGGTCAAACTTCCAGAAGATGACGAAAGAAATTTCTGGGAGAATTAATTGAACTTCCTGGAGAAGACGAAAGTAACTTCCTGGAGACGCTGGCAGAAACTTCCTAAGGTAGATTGGAAGAAACATCTGAAGAAATTCGGAAGCCAGAGTGCTTACGGAACAGTCGAAAGAAACAAGGATATAATTCCGAATGAAAGAGGTTCCTGGGGGATGTTCTAATGATCCAGAAAATTTTCTCGATATTAAAAAAACATCCCTGAAAACTCCAAAATTTCCCTGAAGTTTACGGGACATTCCTGAAATGCAGGAATGGAATATTCCATAATTCCTCGAGATTCCTTAAAAGTTCTTGTAATTTTCCTGAAATTAGGGGCTGTTTTGGAGTTCTCTGGTCATCTTCGAAGCGCTCGGAACTTCCCTGATTATAATAAGACTACCGGCATATCTCTAATCACCTTAGAAGGTCTTTGGACTTTCTTGAAGATTACGGAATCTCATGCTCTCACAATTTTCTTGAATTTATTGTAACATCAGCACTGAAGTTCTCTGATCTTCCCGATTTTTTTAATTTTTAAAAGTTATCAACACTGCCATTAAAAAACACATAAAATGTTCTCAAAATGATCTAAAATTCATGTAACTAAACTTTTCCTAAATTTGCATGAACATTGCTGAAGTTTTCGGAAATTACCGAATTTCGCTGAACTCCTTTATAATTTCAACAATTTCATTGAAATTAATTGATCTGTCCTGATGTTCTCAGAGCTTCACTAAAGTTCCTGAAAACCATTAAATTTCCCTAAAGTTCTTTGGACTTGTGAAGTTTCCAAAATATTTATGATATTTCCTTAAGTTCACTGGAGTTCACTGGACTTTTCTGAAATTTCCGGGTTTTTTTTTAATTTTAACAGAAGTTAATGAAACCATAGAGGTAATTCTAAGACTAGAAGGTCCCGAAATAACGTGCTCAACTTTTTGGCTCAGCTCTGGTACTCTCTTTGGTCCCAAGCTAATCGATTCACCCCTCGAAACATAGGAAAAACCAATAACCCCTCATATTATCTGTCAAACTTTCATAGCGAATCAAAACAAACATTGCGTAGTACTAGAATTTCGACTAGAATGGGGTACGTTAATCGTTTGCTTGGGACCAATAGGCTAGTCAAGTAGTGAGCCAATTTAACATCGTTAGTTTCGTATTGATTGTTGATGAAACTGTCTTTAATTTATCAAAACTTAGACTTTTATGAAGTTTCAGAACTTCTTAAATGTGCTTGCAGCTAGTGTGGATCCACAATAAAAATCTGATAGCATCATTGAAGCTCCGGGAGAAGATGAAAGAATCATTCGGGCAAAGGCTGAAGAAGCTTCCAAGGTAAGGTGGAAGAATATTCCAGGGATAGTTGGACAAAACTTCAGGAAGTTTAAGAATGAATAAAAACTTTCGGAAGTTAAATAATGGTTAAAAAAATATTTCTCGATTACCTAGAAATTACCGGAAAGAGCCATCGACTATTTCTCGATTGATAGGTAGCCAAAAACGGTTAGGAAATGCAAACATTAGTCGAAGAATATCAAGCATAAGGCATCTTTAGAGATAATTGTTTAGAATTTTGAAATTTAAAAAAAAATATGAGGTATTCAAAAAGATACAAGTCTCTCACCAAAAATTTCCTCCGAAATTCGAGCGTGGGCAGGCAATTATAGTTTGGAAATCGGTATAAATACCGATAAATCGGTATATCTGGCAACGCTGACCCTCACCTTTTTTTTTAGTTAAAACCAGGGTTAAAACTCAATTACACTAGCAGCACAGATCAGACGGTTTGATCTGTCTGAACAAGCAACAGAGAATTCTGGCCGACGCATGCGCTGTACCTACTTAAATAACGGCGCGTTGTTCGCAGACTCACTTGCCAGTAAACATGCAGTTCCACGTCAAATGTCGAATCGGAAAAGTCGACCTCCTCCGATTTGTATAAAACTTTGTTTGTTAAGGGCTATCTTTCACATTTTTGCTAAAATTCGGCCAATAAGGAACTTGTATTTTTTTTTCAAAATGGTACTAATAAAAAGTTCAAACGTTTTACCAAAAGTTCTTGTTCTTTGATTTTTGTCAATAGGTTTGACCATTCCTAAAGTTTGCATTTTTTATGAGTAAAATTAAGAGATATTCGAGTTTTAAATATTTTTTTAGCCTTGACAAATAAATGATATTAAAAAAACCCTTTTTTTTATATTTCATTCCAAATTGCTAAAAAGTTACCGTATATGTTTTTCCCAAAAAGACATAATTTTTCTCTATAACTTAAGTTTATTATAACCAGGGCTGTCATCTGATCACTCAATGCGCACAATGTACTGATTTGCTGAAATAAACAAAATGAGAATCAAGCAAACACAAAGTTTGCTTGTCTTTCACCCTGCGCAAGTGTAAAGCAACCGAGAAAAGAAGACAGACACACACCCAGAAATAACGAAAGCTCAATGTGTAGCCATCGCTCTGACGGTTCCGACTCAAAGAGCACCACTCAGTGTGGGAAACTCAGCAAAAAGACAAAATTATTCTTCGTTATGCCCTTCTTCACCTTCTATGCATGCAGTCGTGGTAAAAAAAGTCTGCAAATAATTCAAAGAAGACATTAGCGCTTGTTCTATTATATTCGCTCCCTGCGCCGTACGGAGTGTACCGCTCATTGTGTGGATTGCTTTCTCACAGATTAGTTGGAAAAGAGTGTGTGAAGCAAATGTGAGAACCGAAAAACACTCTTTGTCGAGTGTTGTGAGATGCATGCACAACGCTCTGAGGTGCTTTCCAGCCCTGAGTCTCAGACGTCATTTCGACCATTAGTGACAATCACGTGCTACAATATATAGCGCATTGCGCACATTATAAGTGCGACGAAAAGTGCAGAAACGCTAATAAGGGGCTGTTCATTAACTACGTAGGGGGGGGGGGGGGGGGGCAAGAATCCCAAAAAACTGTCTACGTAGGTAATGTCATGTCTAAATCTCAATTGGGTTGTTTAACATCGAAAAACATTTCGATTTTTATATATCATCTGAAAGAGCTTTGTTTTCTGAGCACAACAATATTTGTATCGACCCCATATACATTCATCTCAATTCTTTAATAAAGATATAAATTTTTGACGCTAAATGTATTTGTTAACAGTTCGCTCTCATACAAATTTCCAACAAGCGGCGCTAATATCAACAATCAATACGAAACTAACAATTTTAAATTGGCTCACTACTTGACTAGCCTATTGGTCCCAAGCAAACGATTAACGTTCCCCATTCTAGTCGAAATTCTAGTACTACGCAATGTTTGTTTTGATACGCTATGAAAGTTTGACAGATAACATGAGGGGTTCTTAGTTTTTCCTATGTTTCGAGGGGTGAATCGATTAGCTTGGGACCGAAGAGAGTACCAGAGCTGAGCCAAAAAGTTGAGTTCGTTTCTTCGGGACCTTCTAGTCTTAGAGTTACCTCTATGCTAATATGGTGATTTTTGCTAATGTAATCGTACTTATTTAAAATAGTTAAAGTGCATCAAAATTGTTGAAATTTTAAATTTTGATTCAGTTTATAATGCAGATTACTAATATGTATTTACCTCAATACCCCTGAACAACCCAATTCTAGAGGATCAAAGAATTTCACAGTAGCGAATAAATCTACAAAAAATTATCTATTTGCACCACCCACAAACCGACATGACACTTAATTCTGACTCATGCCCGAAAATCGTTAACGGCCGATTTAAATGTGCAATGATCCGAACTGTCAAAACCATAGGATTTTTTGATCTAGATAAAAAATAATTTCTACAGAATATATCAGACACGAACCAATTCATAACTTTTGGATGCGGGTTCATGGCTTAGCTAAATATTTCCAGCGAACACGGAGCTCGATGTCAGTAGTGTGCTTTGGTCAGAAATTTTATTGTTTTAGCTATGGTCATTCATGTCGCTTTGTCGGTGCTTGCACCACACATAATCTTCATCAATCTTCTTTCTATCTACTCAGCGTGCGCGCAGCTAACCGTCCCAAAAGAAAATCTTTCCTGCATCGTAGATAGAGTCGCCCTCTCGAATAAAAGTGCGCTTTTACATTAAATCGGTTTTGGTGTTTTCTTCGCACTTTTTCCTTGGTTCATAATAAAAACTGTGCAGAAGACACCATCAAGACCGAGGGGGGCGACACATCTAAATCTCAATTCTAGATGCTCGAAAAATCTCACACTAGCTAATCAATCTTCTAAAAATCTTCTTTCATTTCTCGCATCTACTTGCATTTCTCGCATCTACTTGCATTACCTTTTTGCAGGAAATCTCCCAAATCGTGATAAATCTTCTTTCTATCTACTCAGCGTACGCACAGCTAGCCACAGCAAATCACAATATTTCCTACATCGTAGATAGAGTCGTCCCCCTCGATCAAGACGATACAAAGTAGCGATTCCGAATTTTAGAGAAGTCCGATTAGAAATGTAAAATACAATATCGAAAAATGTCAAAGACGTCAATTTAAATGAAAAATACAAAATAGATCCAAAATGACCGAATTTTAGCAAAAATGTGAATGATTCCCCAAAACAAACAACTATGCAAAGTTTCATGCAAATCGAAGTAGGTTGAATTCTTTTTTTTCGCTATTTGGCCTGGAACTGCTCTAAACACATTTACCCAGACGATGATGCCATGGCAGCTCTCAGCGCAGAGACCTATATCAAATAGGAAAACATCGAAAACATCTGATGAGCAAGCCAATGCAAACTTTGTAAATCCAGTAATCAAAATGTCTCACTAAATGACGCGATACGGAGCAAGTGCTGTATGGCGGTCGGCGTTCGAGTGACTCGAATTAAACAGGTATGTTAATGAAAAGCGGAATTGATTGCCATTTCTTTCCGAAACCATTTGATTTTCTATGCTGATGTGGATGTTATAATTTTGCTTTAAATCGAATCTTATACTTCCGCTAAACATGCTTTGATATTTCTAGATAGAGTTGGAAAAAGGGCGTAACAGCTTTTGTAAACAATGGCTTCTCTCGATGATTTCTAGAAAGTTAAAGCTCGCCAATGCAAATCAACATCACCATCGGGTAGGGGAAGACTTCCCCAAGGGCATAAATTCCAACGCTATCTAGATTTGATACTTTTAAACTAATTAATTGAAGCTGGCTACGTTAACTGTTTTCCTAATATGTACATGAATTGTGCATATTAAAGTAAACAATTTGCGAGAGTGTAGAACTAATGAATCTTAAATATTGTTATTGTTCATGTAATATAATATTAATGATAATATTATAATAGATTAATTATGATTTGCATAAATTTGTTAGAGTCAAAGTTAATGGTTTATCCAAAAATAATGCAGTTTTTTTTTTCAGTTTTATTTATAAATTTCAGATCAGGATCAAACTAACTAAAGATGAGCAACCCAAAAAACCCTTTAATACCGAACGAGAAAATTTTCTTTCAACCCGAACCGACGCACCGAGCATCAAAGTCGAATGAATCTCATCGTCCGCAGCGCCATCGCACATCAGGTAGTGGAAATACTTCGTCGGAATCCCGGTTGAGCCCGCAGAAATTTTCGTGGTTTTTGAGACATTCGGCTGCCGTCGCCGAGCACATGGACCCGGATGCTTTCGTGTGCTTTGACGTGCTGCAGCAGATCAGTGGTGCTGATAAAACCCGCATGCTGCAAATCATTGCCGAGGACCAGAAGGGACGGTTCGACGTGCGCGGAGACGAAGTCCGTGCCGTCAATGGACATAGTGTACATTTCTGTGACAACTATGAGGTTTTAACAACATCCGATAGGCCGGAGTTTTTGTATCATGCTACAAACAATCAGGCACTTGCCTTGATCATGGCGGGAGCACTGAAAAGAATGGGTCGGCATTACATTCACATGTACGATAAGCCACCGCAGAAGACTTCGGTGCGATACAGAATTTTGAGGATTAGGCCTCCGCAGGGGCATACACTCTTTAAGACCAAAAATGGATACATCCTATGCAGAGAGGACATACCGGCGGAGAACATTGAGGTGTGGAATTGAGCTTTGGATTTCAATTATGCAACGGGTTCGGGTGGTGCTCAAAACAATAAGATAGTGTTTTTGTTATTTTGAATATATATGTTGTTTGAAACCATACAGCATTGCTTTGAAGTTTGAATTAATTTAAGGTGAAATTTGCCATCCCAGTAGCCAGTTTTAGGTAATTTTAAACCACAAGTAAAACGAATTTCTCTTCCAATGTAAGGTTGGAATTATTACTTCCTTTGCATATGTTTCATGCAACAAATTTAATGGCATTTCAGGCAGCTAACAAGCAATTTTTAAAGAATGCATATTTTTCTATAAAACCTTCTTGAGGTAATTTTCAATGCATTGTTCGAAAATTACAAAATTATTTCAAAAACCTTCCGGTGACAGACAGACTCTGTTCATTGCGCAAACGATTGCAAATTCTGCATACTTTTCATGCAAATCTGTAATAGAATCTTACATTTCCCGGTTGGGTGCACCCTCCCTCAGTGAATACAATGCACAGTATGCAATGTAATATATTAACAAACATCGTAGAAGCACCGGTTGGAAACTAATGATTATAAATTGGCTCACTACTTTACTAGTCTATTGGTCCCAAGCAAATCGATTAACTTACCCCATTCTAGTCGAAATTCTAGTACTTCAGTATGTTTGTTTTGATTCGCTATGAAAGTTTGACAGATAAAATTAGTGGTTCATGGATTTTCCTATGTTTCGAGGGGTACATCGATTAGCTTGGGACCTCGCTTGGGACCAAAGCTAGTACCAGCACCGACACACCGACATGACACTTAATTCCGACTTGTGCCAGAAAGTCGTAAACGGCCGATTTAAATGTGCAGTGATCCGAACTGTCAAAACCATACGATTTTTCTTATCTAGATCAAAATAATTTGTCCATAATAGATCAGACACGAATCAATTCATAACTTATGCATGCGGGTTCATGGCTTAGCTAAATATTTCCCGCGAACACGGAGCCAGATGTCAGTAGTGTGCTTTGGTCAGAAAATTTGTTGTTTTTGCCGAGGGGGGCGACTCTATCTACGATGCACAAAAGATTGTGTTTTGCTGTAGCTAGCTGCGCGCACGCTGAGTAGATAGAAAGAAGATTGATGACGATTCTGAAGATTTCCTGCAAAAAGATGATGAGCGATGCAAGTAGATGCGAGAAATGAAAGAAGATTTTTCGAAGATTGATTTGCTAGTGTGAGATTTGTTGAGCATCTAGGCTTGAGATTTAGATGTGTCGCCCCACTCGGTTTTTGCTATGGTCATTCATGTCGGTTTGTCGGTGGTACCGGTTGGAATCTAACGATTTTAAATTTGCGCACTACTTGACTAGCCTATTGGTCCCAAGCAAATCGATCAACGTACCATAGAGGTAACTCTAAGACCACTGGGTCCCGAAGAAAATCATTATTATTTGTGGCTCACTCAGTACCAGAACAACGGTCCCAAGCAGTCCCAAGCTATTTCACTCACCCCTGCATGTTCTGCATGAATCCACACATCCCTGATGTTAGCTGTCAAACTTTCATAGCGAATCAAAACAAACATTGCGTAGTACTAGAATTTCGACTAGAATAGGGTACGTTAATCGTTTGTTTGGGACCAATAGGCTACTAAAGTGGTGAGCCAATTTAAAATCGTTAGTTTCGTATTGATTGTTGAACGTACTCCATTCTAGTCAAAATTCTAGTACTACACTATGTTTGTTTTGATTCGCTATGAAAATTTGACAGATAAAATGAGGGGTTCGTGGATTTTCCTATGTTTCGAGGGGTGCACCGATTAGCTTGGGATCGAAGAGAGTAACAGAGCTGAGTTACCTCTATGGTAGAAGTATCGTAAATATTTCTGTCAACAGAGGCACGTCAAAGATGTGGGGACCTGGTTCTGGAGATGTATGCCCGAAACATGTTCTGATTTGTAAATCACTCAGCAAATGACATGAGAATTCAAAAACCAGGGAACCCCCAGCCCCAGTGTCTAGCTAAGGGCCAAAATCCATAATGGTTTTCCTTAAATCACATGAGAATTCATCTATAAATATTTTCTCATTAGTAAGAAGGGCAAGATTCTATCATTGAGGGATTGGCGGTGCATTTTGACGGTTCGATTAGAACAACTTTTGACAGACGTCCATAGTTTTACCAACAATCAATACGAAACTTACGATTTTAAATTGGCTCACCACTTTAGTAGCAACAATCAATACGAAACTAACGATTTTAAATTGGCTCACCACTTTAGTAGCCTATTGGTCCCAAGCAAACGATTAACGTGCCCTATTCTAGTTGAAATTCTATTACTACACTATGTTTGTTTTGATTCGCTATGAAAGTTTGACAGATAACATCAGGGATGTGTGGATTCATGCAGAACATGCAGGGGTGAGTGAAATAGCTTGGGACTGCTTGGGACCGTTGTTCTGGTACTGAGTGAGCCAAAAATAATAATGATTTTCTTCGGGACCCAGTGGTCTTAGAGTTACCTCTATGCTACTACCAACAATCAATACGAAACTAACGATTTTAAATTGGCTCACCACTTTAGTAGCCTATTGGTCCCAAGCAAACGATTAACGTACCCTATTCTAGTTGAAATTCTATTACTACACTATGTTTGTTTTGATTCGCTATGAAAGTTTGACAGATAACATCAGGGGTGTGTGGATTCATGCAGAACATGCAGGGGTGAGTGAAATAGCTTGGGACTGCTTGGGACCGTTGTTCTGGTACTGAGTGAGCCAAAAATAATAATGATTTTCTTCGGGACCCAGTAGTCTTAGAGTTACCTCTATGCTACTACCATAGAGGTAACTCTAAGACCACTGGGTCCCGAAGAAAATCATTATTATTTTTGGCTCACTCAGTACCAGAACAACGGTCCCAAGCAGTCCCAAGCTATTTCACTCACCCCTGCATGTTCTGCATGAATCCACACACCCCTGATGTTATCTGTCAAACTTTCATAGCGAATCAAAACAAACATAGTGTAGTAATAGAATTTCAACTAGAATAGGGTACGTTAATCGTTTGCTTGGGACCAATAGGCTACTAAAGTGGTGAGCCAATTTAAAATCGTTAGTTTCGTATTGATTGTTGCTACTACTGCGTGCACTTCCATTCTATTACCGAGAACCATGATTTTTCGATAAATTCCTTCCACGCTATTGGTCCTGACCTTTGGGTCCATGCATAAAACGCTATTCAATATGTATTTTTGTAATCGGTCTACTGGTTCCCAATACAGGCCTTAAGACTAGAAGCGACCTAAATGAACTATGCCAAATATGCGTACCAAATACGTAACGTGACACAAACCAAGTTCAATGGACGCAATATCAACTAGCCAGGACAACATTGATTACATCCGGACATGTTCCTGAGTTGGACCATAACCCAGCATGCAACGCCTCAAATCACATGAGACATGAGAATTCGAAAGCAAGTTCAATGGTAATCATCTCGATTATCCAGGACACTGACACACTGGCCGTATTCGGACATGTACCAGGTACTTCCGGAAATGTGGTTAGTTTATTTTTTTTCCCTTTGGTTTGTTTTTTCCGTCGATCTTGTTTTCCGTGCTGAGCACCAATGCTACCGACGTGCAAGGAAGGCAGCTCCCACACCTGGACCCTACCTATCGACCCATCAACTCATGAACCGGGGACCAACGGCTTTACTTCCCATCCGAAGGAAGGCGTGATCAGAGATGTTATGCCTCAGAACATCCCGGCGGCGCCGACTGGGATTGAACCCAGGCCTGCTGGGGTGAGAGGTAATCACGGTGGTTAGTTTCTGAAAAGGTACAAAACCCCGCGACACCTCAAATCTCACTATAATTTAAAATTAGCCGCACCGGTGGTGTAGTGGTAAGCGTTATTGCCTGTCGCTCCAAGGGACCTGGGTTCAATCCCAGTCGGCGACGCGGGATTTTCTGAGGCATGAAACCCGTGACCACGCCTTCCTTCCGAAGAGAAGTAATGCCGTTGATCCCCGGACCATCAGTTAATGGGTCGATAGGTAGGGGTCCAGGTGTGTGAGCTGCCTTCCTGCCGTCGGTAGCATTGGTACTCACTACGGACTTCACAATACCCTAAGGTCGGGTAAACTTCATCTCCGAACTAAGTGTACCATGTACAAGACGCTGATAAGACCGGTAGTACCCTACGGGCATGAGACATGGACGAGGAGGACCTGCAAGCAGGGCCCCACAAAGTCACTTTCAATCGTAAATCGTCAAGCGACGATGAAGCTGTCAACCATCACTTTCAATTGAAAGTCATTCTGTCTTCTCTTCGAGCAGATCCCCCTCAACATCAACAGAACCACTTTCGATCAGTTTTCATGCTGTTTGTTTTGGCTTGACTCGTGTTCATTTCTTCTTTCATTGTCAAATGAACTTACTTTTGCATGCATGAAGCAAAGCCGTTCGATCCAAATTAGTGCAGTTTTTATGACTTTTGTTGCTTGTTCACTCGGTTTATTTTGGTTCAGATCTGTGCACGTGGATGTCAAATTTATCATTGTCGGGTGGTTTGTCTACCCATCAATATGGGTATTCGTTTAATCGGGGTGACGTCTAGAGATCGAAAATTGAAATGCGACGCGATTTTGACATCCAAGATGGCGGCTTCCAGTTTAAGAAAAAGTGGAAAATGCTGTCAAATACTTATCAATAAAGGTATTTTGGGAATCGGGATGATGTCTAGAGGATGAAAATCGATATACGACGCCATTTTGAAATTGAAGATGGTGGCTTCCAATTTACGAAAAAGTGGAAATACAGTCAAATACACATCAATACGACAGTGAGCATTCATAAGGGCGAATACGCGATGATCGATTCTCTTCATCGATTTTCTCTTTGCATTGCTACAGCTAAGCGAAACAATTTTCAAGAATTTGTTCAATGCAGAGTAGTAACAGGTTGTATTGGCTTTCAAAAGCAACAGCAAACGCACCGAGAAACGTTAAATCTAGCGAGTTATTAACAAAAGAGAAAATCGACGAAGAGAATCGATCATCGCGTATAGGCTCTTATGCATGCTCACTGTCGAATATTAGTATTTTTGTAATCGGTATGAAGTCTACAGATCGAAAATTTATATGCGACGCCATTTCGAAATCCATGATGGCGGTTTCCAATTTTAGATTAAGTGGGTAATACTGTCAAATACCCATCAATATTAGTATTTTTGGAATCGGAATGGCGTCTAGAGGCAGGAAATCAATATCCGACGCCATTTTGAAATCCATGAAATCCATCCGGCTTTTGGTTTGAGAAAATGTTTTAAATTATATCAAATACCAATACAAACGGTTTTTTTTAGCATCAGGGTGACATCTAGAAGCCAGACATAGATGTCCGACGCAATCTTGAAATTCAAGATGGTGGCTTCCGATTTCATAAGAAGTGTCAAATAGCCTACAAATAGCATCGAATATCGATTTTCAGCATCTACGCGTCGTCCTCGTTCCGAAAATGCCCAGATCTTAGGGCCGATGCATTAATTATGTCACGCTAAAACGAGCAAAAAATTACCCCCTCCCCACCTATCGTGGCGCTTTTCCTATACATAATGCATTGCTTGAAACAAAATCTTAGAGTTTTCGAGTCATTCATTGCGTCAATTGAAACAAGTCTTTGCTTCGAATGAAATGAACTGAAGCACTTGACGAACGAAACAAGTGATAGTCCAGTCATGTTTGAAAAGAGGAATGTTCATCGTGACTCGATAACAAGAAATACGATGACTTACACGGAAATGATATTGCTCGAAATGAAGCGATTCTGCGGAGAGTTCATTTTCTTTTCTTTGTTTTGAAAATGCAGAACCCTGCCTGCAAGTACTAGGAGTTTCGAACGACGCGTGCTTAGATATGTTTGGAGGAGAAGAATGAATCACGAACTGGCGTAACTCTATGATGAACCTATTATCCAGAAAGCCGCTAAAGCTGGAATGATACAATGGGCGGGCCATGTTGTAAGAATGAAGGATAATACACACAATTCACATGCACATTGCCTAATCGATGGGCTCAACCTTTAGATCCATAGGCCATCATAAGAGCCATTCCCCTATCACACATTTTTAACAAACATACAAGGTCTGGTATAGGGGGAATGGCTCTAATGTTGGCCTATGGATCTAAGATTGGGCCATCGCTAACAATCTGCTATTTATCAATTTACTAATGGATATTTTGGTCGCTATTGAAAATTTAGCCGAGTGCTGAATTTATACATGGACCCAAATTAGGGGCATTTAGGCCGACATTACATCTATTTCCCCTAAATTAAAGTAAATGGGATACAGTAATCCCCCAAATAGCGCGGTGGGTGGTGTCGTCCACAATTGAGCTGTTTTTGTATGTGCTTAGGGTCCACCATAAACTTGTCACCTACGGAACTATTCGGAGGATTCCTGTATTTACAAAGTATCGAGCACGAGCACTCTGAATGGCGTTATTGATACGCCATGATTGCCACCAACAGCCCCGGTTCAGAACATTTGTGCTGCCGTGCTTTCCACGCTCTGATTTGACCCATCAACAATATCAGTCCCTATCATATTTGTTTCAGCGCACGTTTGTCAACCTCACCTTGCGGCGGAGGGTGGAGACTCATTTGGGTTTTCCCGACCATGGATGGATGCCGCACAAACAGTGCATTCTTCAGTCATCATTTTCAGCATTATCGCCCTGCCTGTAGTTGACAGCCACCGCCACCGTCGCCGTCGCCGTCATTCGTTCTGGAATGGTGTCTCTCTCTACCTTGATTAGATAAAGTCTCATAAAAGGTGTTCACTTTTGTTCGGGTGGTTTCGGATTTTGCTGATAAGTCAGGGTGCGAAAAAAAAAGAGAACACTGGGGTTAAATTTTTCACTTTTGTGTTATTTTTTACTGTCGACTCTCCTCAGTTGTTGTATTTTTACATGAATGTGTATATCTTAGACACTAACGTTTAAATAATTTAACCGATAACTATGAAAGAGTTTGTTTTACGCAATATAAATATTTTCTGCGGTTGTTCATCGTCCGCTGTTCATTCAGTGTTATCGCACGTGCAATATTTAACTTGTGCTTTTATTGTACATCTCTCTAAACTGTCTCCTGCTGGTTTAACAGCTCTATAGGAAAAAAAGGGCATTTCGCTTGGCATATGTACAGAAAGAGATAATTGCGTTAAAGTTCAGCAAGGAAAAACAGTTACTATGCGTGTTGCTACAGCAGATGCAGAATAATAATCCAAAGTTCAAACAGGTACAGTCACACAGTTTCTGCTGCTTCTCTTTTAAAGGGGAGAGGGGGGAGCTAAAGGATATGTTTGCTTCATCTCAGAAAAAACAAAACAAAGTTAAACAGAATCTTAGCGGGGAAATTCGGCGTTATTGTTCGTACTACAGCTACATTTTGTTGGTTTGATTAAAATTTAACACAGCCTTTCTTAATTTTTACACATTCAACTTTTTTATTGATCGAGTAGTGAACTCAATGTGATTGTTTTGTTTCAGTGTGGGTTACGAAGGTTCATTTTTTCACGCACAATTTTTGTAAACAGTCGTACCGTGTTGTAGATTAATTATAATAATAGTCTAACGACGACTCTTCTTTGTGTCCACACAGTGTGTAATTCTACAGTCTCTTAGCGTAAAACTTGGCTTAGTAAACTTAAAGGTAAATGAGACTAGAATTGGCTTCCTTAATGTAGAGCTTAGTTTATACATATTGAATGAACTTAAAGAAAAAATAACGAAACAGAGACATGGCGAAGGAAATTTTTTGGCTGCTTCCGATCGCAGCAGATGGTGTGGCCGTCGAAATGGTGAATGCGTGTACGATTGGTGCTGACAGTCGCAACACTCGGGCGACTGATGGCGCTAAATGCATTCAAAGTAGCTTTTTTTTTTTCTTTAACAAATGTGTTTTTTGATGCAAACGATGATGATATGAATGATTTTTTTCTCTTCGTATTTTAAAGGATATAGGTTTTTTCTTGGTTTCCACGAAAATCTTAACTCACACTTTTCACAATGCAAAACTGACTAAACTAACAGAGGAAAGCCGATTTGCTTACGAGCTACTATGTACAAGATAGGGGGCACATAAATTAGTTCTATTGTTTTTAAAATTTGTATCACACTTTAAATAGGTAGTAGAATATAGGGGACGAAAATATTACGTCTAACTAGCTTAAACCTGATCATGAGTTGGAACTCGTAGAGACAGGCCGTGCATCGGAACTGCTGGCTGGGATAGGGAACGGCCTCGGTGCAACCATGCAGACGGGCGTTGCAGGGACTGGTGCTAGCGACTGAGTGGGCGAGGGTGTCGAGGAAGAAGATGACAGCGAGGATGGCGACGAAAGTGACGACGGCGATGACGGTGGAGAGGTCGGCAGCTTCAGGGTTAACCGTGGCGGGCAGCGGCCATTGCCTCCGTGACTATTTCGATGGCTGCTGTTAATGCTGCTACCGGAGCTGGTGCTGCTGGAGCTAGCGGTACTGCAACCGCTGTCCCGATTATTGTTCTTGCTGTCATCGCGGTGGTCATCGTCGTCGTCCATTTCCTCGTCGTGTGGGTTGAACTTGCTACAGTTGTTGATTAGGAAGAACGGTGGTTGACTAGGCGGAACGACGGGCGACGGAGGTGGCGGCTCCAGCTTTCCATCGGCGATCAGATTTTGTTCCAGCTCCAGTAGCTGACCCATAAAGTTGAGGTTCGGTGAGATGATTGGACGGGCGAGCTTCACCATTTGGTAGGCTTCCAGCAGCGAGACGGCCTTGTAGCGCATGACGTAGGCTATCGCAATTGTAGCGCTACGGCTGATACCAGCTTGACAGTGCAGCAACACGGTTAAACCTTTTTTCCGGGCATCCTCTGGAAGAACAAAAGGAAATAGAATCGAGCATTAGTCACGGTGCGAGGTTCGATAAAAATTGGCACTGGAATCTAGCGCGATGGTTAAGAGGCTAGCGACTTGTCGAACCGGCTAGCTTGAAGGTGGACGATTAGCGGTGGTTATCTTATCTTCGAGACCGCACATTACTCCCGGAAATTGAGCAGAAGTCTTCGGTCTTATGCGATTTATTGCATGCAAGTGGCTTTGTTTTCTGGTAATCTAAACCCCAAGACGAGGAGGTATAGGTAGGTGTTTGGGCGGGGTTTTGCCAAAAATACTCTTTGCATATTATACTCGCTGCGCTACAGGAGAACATCAGCATGGTGCCACCGCGGCGAAGAAAGCACGCGGCAACAGCGAGCAGAACAACTATACTAAGAAAAACCGTAGCAGAAGGTGATGGCAGAGCGTGACTCATCGCTCGGAATTTGGCGTGTGCAAGCTAAATAGTTTCTTGACTTCCACTATTGTTAGTGTGGTTTCCGTTAGGGTGGACCGAAAGTAGGCTTCCTAGGGATTGTGAGTTTTTAAACAACGATTGCAATGTTTCGATGTGCGGTGTCTATAGGTGAGGCAGAAGGAAACCAGTCGATTCTTTCATTCTCACGATGTTCTTGTGCAATGTTTTACCCGTAGAGCAAAAACCAAACCGTGATGGTGGGCTTCTTTGGAAACTATTCTGGTGTAAGCGAACTTGAACATGTTCGTATGAAATCAATAAAGTAGTTACTAATAGGATAGATCCTGTAATTATCTTGAAATTCTCGGAACTTCCCCGAAATTCACGTAACTTATGTAGAGATTTTTAAGAGTTTGAGAATTTTAGAAAAAAAATGAACATCTTTGAAGTTCTCTGGACTTCCCTGAAGTCCACAGAACTTCATAAAAGTTCTCACAATTTTTCTGAGGGTTATAAACCATGGCCCACTTAGTAATGGAACAAACTGCTTTGCTTATTACAGCGCTCCTACTGGACGTTTTCGGAAGATTTTGACGTCTATTTGTTGACAACAACAATAACAATAACAGTGTATTTTTTCAGTTCATAAAACGTTCTTGTTTTGGAGACAGTCACCATGCAAGAGGGGAATAGAAAAAAACATCATGCACCGTGACCTGGAAAATCAATCGCGGTCCGCGTCCCAGCTGGCTAAAGTGTTGCATTTCCCTAGAATCACCGTATGACGCAAGCTTAAAACGTACAGGGAAACCTTGACGACGAATCAGAAGCCTCAAAGTATGTTCGTTCGCGGTTTTAGTAAAAAGTATAATGCCGCCGTTGTACAGTGCAGCGAATTCGCTAACCCGAAGGCTTACAGGAATACCACGCCAGGAGGCTACCAAATCGACCACTCAAGCAGAATACCGTAGCTAGAACCCGTGCTCGAAAGCTGTATGACAACCTGCTGACCAAGTCCGGTGGGTGCACATTAGACTGATGCAAAATTTGACTTTTTCGCTCCACAGTGCTTAAATGGTTTCAAATCGGGTCCTGATTAGCCTCCCAAAGTTGCAACTCATTTGGTTAGAAACAGACTTCGCACAAGCCATTTGAAGTTTACATGTAAATTACTATGGAAAATTTCAACTTTTTGTTCATTGCCTTCTAGTCTTTTTCCATATTGAGCTGCGAAACAGTTCAATAGCCATTCTTATAGAAAATACAACTTTGCTGAAGATTGTTTCTATGTAAAACTAGACAGGAAAAAAATTATTAATTATTTAAGAGATTGGTAAACTTATGACATGATCAAGCAGCTGCTCTGTAGGCAACACTGTATTTTGCAGTGTGACATAGTAGCTATGATTTTCGTGTCCTATTCTACGCCCTTAGAAACACCAATGCTGCCTGCTGAGCAGTTGATTGAGCATGATCATAAGACATCAGCGCATTGAACCATTCATAACTTTCGATCCTTGCATTTAATCAAAAAGCGGTCCTGAGCAAAGTTGTAGCTGGGAAATTTTCCTACAAGTACAGTTAAAAGCGTTTGAAGCAGACCGATATGGTGAAATATTAGATAGACATGAACAAAAATCTTGGTTTTACCATAGTAATTCCCATACAAACTTCAAATGGTTTGTGCCATCTCAGTTTCTCACCAAATGTGTTCAAATTTTGAGAGGTTAGTCAGGATCCGATTTGGAATCGTTTAAGTATTGTGGAGCGAAAATTTCAAATTTTTCATCACTCTAGTGCACATACTTATGGATGATGAAAACTATGTAAAAGCCGACTTCGGACAACGTCCAAGACCAAAATTTTACAAGGCAGATCCAAATTTGTGTTTGCGGATAAATTCATACGAAAATATATGATCTGGCAGGGAATTTTCAGCTGCGGCCAGAAGACAAAGGTTTTCGTCACTGAGAAAATGATGAATTCGGAAATTTACAAAACCGAATGTCAACAGAAGCAAATTCTGCCCTTCATCCAGTCACACGATGGTCTGGTGACATTTTGACAGGAACATCTAGTTTTCCGATCGTGTTAGCTTAATGCCAACATTTTCTTCTCGCGCCTACTGTTATCATTATAATTATTGATGCATGCCAACCATATCTTTCGTGATGTGGTCGTCGGAAGGTTTAAGAAATCTTGTAATTTTTAAGTTAGCCTATTTTCCGAATAACATTTATTTCTCCTGCGGCTAGATAATCTTCTCATGAAGGTTTTGTACGAAAATATTCATTCTAGAAAAACTTGCGTGCCCGCTACAGCCCATTTGTAAGAACTGACATTACATGTGTTGTACGAAAACAAGCAGACGATGTAAGAAATCCACCATTACCTTTGATGTTCACGTCATTTGTTTTGCAGCAATAACAAAGCAGTGTGTCAACATTATTGCCGCCTCCCGCGTCTCTGTGTGGTCAATTTTCGCCCGAAGAAGCTGATTAATCGCAAAACAATTCACTGCCCGGCTGACTGATGATGTCACACACACCACACCACACACATCATACCTCGATTGGCAGAAGAATGCGGAATAGCAGTGGGATCAGAAGTTTAGCTACCGGTATTTGGCTTTTTATTTTCGTTTTCGTCGTTGTTGGAAGCTTTGTCATATGAAGCAACGCGTGCACGTGATGTGACTACCTTGCTGCGACGCACCTGGATATGACAGATGATTCATTCTGGGCTGTAGCTGACGCTTGCTGAGATGCAATCGCAACCGAAGAGCTGATCGGGGTGATTCATCCTGACAGGATCCTTCATGCATGTCCCTTTTTTATATCTTCCAAGCGGATGTGTAATGGATATCGCTTTCGGGAAAATAGGATATTAAAAAAGCGTAGATTTCAATCGGAACCTTTCTCTTCCTTGTTCCCTGTTTTGTGTGTGTGACTGCGTCGCAGCAGATCAAATTTCCGGCCATGTTTTTATCCCACAGAGCGGCAAACGGTTATGATTAGTTTTTAATTTCGATTCCCTATGTTTGCGCTCCGAGGACAAGGGGGAATATCAAACGCGACCATCCAACGGCAAGCAGTGTAATCGGGGATTGAATCCTGAAGATTTGCATTGTTTTGCGTCATGTCTGCTATTACAGGATCTAATCCTCTGAAGCTCTCTGCATGGTAATTAGGCCTCACTCAACGGCTTCACGGAGCATTAGGGACTGTCCGACCAACCGAAATCCGGAAATTGATTAATGACCCGCCGATTCGGGGGGGTGGGAAGGCACGCTCTCTGGAGAGAAACGTGTTTCCAATTAGAATCGCAAGAGGACGTCAGCAGCGAGATCATCTGCGTAGAGCGAAGGGAATCCGCAAAATCCCCTTCCTGTTTGGCTGTTTCTTGTGATGTTTCTATACGTGGGTGAAGGGGTGTCTATTTAATCTCTCTCTCTTCAAGAGCGAGAGAGACAGAGAATGCTAGTAGGCCAACGATGAATGAGTCATAACTTCAAAAAAGCAAAACGCAGCAACCCACCGCGGTCCGTTGGAGTCAAAAGACGAGTGGTTGATTGCGCGGCACTCTATGATGGTGTATAGTAAGCGGCTTGGCAGCGGCAGCAATTTTGTTATTAAAACCATTCGACTGTTAAAATAACAATTGAAGCAAACAATAACAAGAAGAACGCAAACTGCAGCGGTTCTGGCTTCTGCTGGCAGACACACACACACACAAACGCAGTAGGCGTTGAAGGTGGTATCAGCGTTGTTTTGAATGCATGGTGGTACCTAACATCACCATTGAAAATGTGCTCTACTGTCGTTGTCGTTTGATTGCGCGTGGAGTTCACTAGCATTTCCTGTCCGTTGGAAGGCGCGGAATCAAAAAAAAAAAAAAAGTATGTCTGCAGAAGTAATTTCCAAGCCAACTTTGGTAACATAATTCTCACACGCTTCAGAGGGAAGCAGAGCCGCAAGGGCACATCGAAGCAATAGGAATGTGTGCTCGTGCGTAAAATAGCGACTTAGTTTATTTCCTTTCACCTACCGTCGCTCTCTCTCTCACGCTGTGCAGTTTGTATTTACAGTCGGTGGTAGTGATTTGGATGGAGTATGAGTCATGCACATTGCTCGCGTTGTACTTTCACCCTATTCTCTGGAGTATTGGGTTATGGACTTTTCATTATTTTTTTTCTATTTTTGGCCAAATCCCGTCGGATTTTTAGCATGTTAAATTTGATCCTTTTTCGATGCAGTGCATCTGTCAGCAGTAGGGGTGGGTAGGAGTCATTGTTCTGAGATTTTCCACCCCAAACAAAAATATCTAGGAAGTACGAAGGGTTTCTTAACAACTATTTAACTGGCTGACTGAGACGATTATGGGGCTTAAAGGTTCGATTTGATCGGAATTTATCGTTGGGGAGTTTGGGAAACTTTTTAGGCGCCCTTTTTATGGACGATGTGTGCAGGGGTGTGCTGGCAAATAGGCAACGGGGCCAGATGTAAACAATCAAAACAAACCGGGCCAATTTTGCCAATCGAATGCCAAATGATCCATTAAATCGACGTCCGTCCCTCC